TCTCTCCGCCCCCCCCACCCCGCCCCAATTCTGATCTAAACAGCAAGCTGCCCAACCTGGCGTCTTGAACCATCCCCTACCAACAGGACGAAGAGTTGTACCAGTTCAAGGTAATGGGAGTTCCCGTGGATGGGAAGCAGGATGGCTGCTGAGGAGGATGGAAGCATTTGGAAGGTGTCAAGTTGGGCGGGAGTGATGGCCTTTGTATTCTGACATATCCGAAGCACTGCCGGCTGGCTGGATTGCAGGTGGAAACTGAGGATGATGGGAGTTGCAGCCCAGCACATTTAGACGGGGTCAAAGTTGGATATGTTGGCCAAGCTTGCTCTGAATAATAGGCATAATTACTGCTGGATAGCTCAGTGGTTTAGGTAGAGGTTGGGAGTTTGATTCTCCACTGGGCCTCCCCCTTCATGGTGGGACTCCATGATCCAGTAGGGTCCCTCGCAGCTCTGCGGTTCTAAGGTGATGATGATAATTAATTCAGTCTGCAGTTCTAAGGTGATGATGATGATTAATTCAGCGGATCTGCAGGCAGTTGGTTGGCAAGGGTGAGCACACAATACTAGCTCCCATTCCTCTCTGGGTATAGGATTTGAATGTCCCTCATCATAATTAGGCATAGGGCTGCCACCTTAACTTTTTTAAAAAGTTATTTTTCTAAACTTGAACATTTTTTGCCTATATTGTAGAGCCAAATTCTTCTGAATTCAAGAGTAGATAGTAATAGATATACAGTATTTCGGAAGAAAGCTGGACATCGTAAGTCCCTGGAACCAATGGGCAGCACCTTGATGTAGCATTTAAGGGTGGTGTATTCACACAAGCAGATTCAGTGTTTAGAAAACTCTTGGTGATTTATAAAGAAAATTGCTTAAGGGAAATTGTGTAAGTCTTCGTAGCAAATTGCCACTCCTTACCGGGCAGATATATGACACATATATCTGGGCAGATATATGACACAATCAGGAATGCACCCAGGAACACAATCAGCAGCTTGTTAAAACTGTGCTGTCAGATCAATTCTGACTCATGGCAACCCTTTCCAGAATTTTCTAGATAAACATGGTTCACAAGTGGTTTACTGTTCCCATCTTTTGGGGATGCCCTGGGATCATGCAGCTTGCTCAAGGCCACACAGGCTGGCCCTTCTCTGGGGACAACATAGTGGGAAATTGATCTCCCACCTTTTGCCAGATACTTAACTCACTGAGCTATCTATCCAGCTAACAGTTTGTTAATGAATGGCAATTTGATGCTAAGATGTACAGAATTTCCCATGAACAATAGGATTCTGGGCGGTGTTTGTTGTGTAATCTTACCCATATGGCAGCTTCAGGTTGTGGATTGGAGAAATGTTTTGTAGTCCTATCAAAATAATTCTTAACAATTTCCCCCTTTTTGAAGGAAAAATATTTTCTCCCTGGTGGAAATGAGCTGGCCAGATCCATAGGTAAATGCCATACCTCTTGGCTGTGGACTCCTAACGCCAAAGAATATGCTCAGAAAATGCCAGTAAGTCCAATATGTTATGGTTAGCATTGAGAACAGACACCTGTGTTAACTGGAGGGGGGTTAGGACCTAGTTTCGGGGCAAGGGATTGGACCAGATGCGTAACATTTCTACACAGCTACTTTAAGGAATATAACCACTAAGCAATTTAATACCTTTGCCTCTTTACTCATACACATGTACACCTGTAATGAAGCACCATGGGTGGTTTTTTCATAGGTAGGGCTCTTCCCCATTCCTCTTGTTTTCCCTTTCCCAAGCAAGTGAAGCTTCTCAGGACGCCAAATGTCTAGGTGTTGTTGTTTTGGCCATCTGGTCCTCTGTCATCCCGTTCTCCTCTTACCTTCACACCTTCCCAACATCAGGGTTTTTTCCAAGGAGTCTTCTCATGAGATGGCCAAAGTATTGGAGCCTCAGCTTCAGGATCTGTCCTTCCAGTGAGCACTCAAAGTTGATTTCCTTCAGAATGGATAGGTTTGATCTCCTTGCAGTCCAGGGGACTCTCAAGAGCCTCCTCCAGCACCACAATTCAAAAGCATCAGTTCTTCGGCAATCAGCTCTGTTTATGGTCCAGCTCTCACTTCCATACATCGCTACTGGAAAAACCATAGCTTTGACTATCCGGACCTTTGTCGGCAAGGTGATGTCTCTGCTTTTTAAGATGCTGTTGAGGTTTGTCATCACTTTCCTCCCAAGAAGCAGGCATCTTTTAATTTCGTGGGTGCTGTCACCATCTGCAGTGATCATGGAGCCCAGGAAAGGAAAATCTGTCACTGCCTCCATATCTTCCCCTTCTGTTTACCAGGAGGTGATGAGACCAGTGGCCATGATCTTAGTTTTTTTGATGTTGAGCTTCAGACCATTTTTTGTGCTCTCCTCTTTCACCCTCATTAAGAGGCTCTTTAATTCCTCCTCACTTTCTGCCAGCAGAGTGGTATCATCTGCATATCGGAAGTTGTTGATATTTCTTCTGGGAATCTTAATTCCGACTTGGGATTCCTCCAGTCCAGCCTTTCGCATGATGTATTCTGCATATAAGTTAAATAAGCAGGGGGACAATATACAGCCTTGTCATACTCCTTTCCCAATTTTGAACCAATCAGTTGTTCCATTTCCAGTTCTAACTGCTGCTTCCTGTCCCACATATAGATTTCTCAGGAGACAGATAAGGGGTCAGGCACTCCCATTTCTTATGCCTAGGTAGGGGAGCTTTAAATCTTTCTCCCCCATGCACTGCTTTTTGTCTGCACACACAAGAATACTAAAAAGAGAGAGAGAGAGAGACATAAGAACATAAGAAGCATCCTGATGGATGAGGCCAAGGGCCCATGTAATCCAGCTTCCTGTATCTCACAGTGGCCCCACCAGATGCCTCTGGGAGCACAGGAAACAACTACGTAGATACCTGTCTCCTGAGGACCCCTCCCTTCCATCCGGCATTTTGAGATACCCTCCTTTTAAGCCTAGAGAGTATACATCCGCGTCAAGACTTGTAACCTGTGATGGACTTTTCCTCCAGGAATTCTCTTGTAAGGCATCTAGGCCGAATGCTATCACCACATCCTATAGCAAGGAGTTCACAGACTAACAGCATTCTGGGTCAAGAAATATTTCCTTTTGTCTGTTCTCACTCTCCCAATGCTCAATTTGAGTGAATGTCACCTGGTCCTGGTATTGCATGAGAGAGAAAAGAGTGAGAACTCCACTTTATCTATCTATCATCCCCTGTATAATTTTATATGTCTCAATCCTCAGGCAGCTTTTCTCTAGACTAAAGAGACATGGGAGGAAGCCTCCATAGACATTATAGCCATTATTAAATGGATTAGACCACCTTGTTTGTTTCAAACAGCACTTTATTAAGAATGCATTGAGGTGGATTTTCAAGAGCTTTGAACTGATCCTGCTAGCTCCTTCATAATAGGGCTGTTTTCATTGGATTATAATAGATACTGCTTGATTTTAATTGCCTTTTCTGGGAGAGCTTTGTCGTGAAATGTGCCTCATTGAAAGGGGTATGAGTAAGTGGCCCTTCCACCTATTTAGCTCTAAGATTATTCCACATGGTGGATGGCATTATGGAGAAGGCCTTCCTCTACATTTTATTATAATTTATATAAAATAAATTGTAGAGGAAGGCATTCTCCGTAATGCCATCTGCCATGTGGAATGAGCCCCTCATTAAGTTTGGACAGGCCCCCAAGTGAAGATTTACTTGTATTGTCAGACAAACAGACTCAATCCATTATCTCTAGTGATTTTATTGAGATATTTTATAGTTTTACCCTCACTGTGCTGTTTTACTATTTGATTTTACTGAGCTTTTTTTTTAACCTATTGTAAACTGCTCTGGGATTTCTGAAGTCAAAGACAGGGTAGAAATGTCATAATAAAAATTAGTCTGTGTAAATAAGTAAATGTTATATTAATAGTGAATTCTGTGCATAGACATTGTAGGTGAAAGAACAGTCCTGCGTGGATCTGCCAAGAAGTAAGTCCGATTGAGATCTGCAGGGCTTGTTCCATGCCTAGTGTGCATACACTAAATCCTGAGCCAAGTTTTATTGTTTAGAGGGAGCAAATTGGAAAAGCGTACAAATTAGCACAATGTGGCAGAATTCTCAGTTCAGTCACAGATGTAGTGTTGGCCTTGGTCAAATGCACATTCAATGCCCCTTTGGTACTTTCCGCTCAACAAAAGCTTGGAGATAGAGCAAGGAAAGATGGAGGTGGGGGACAGCACTTGGGGCTTTGTGACCTCATCAGAGCTTGGAAAAGTTACTCTTCAGACTTTGGTTATGCTGGCCGTAGGCAAAGTCATTTCCCCAAGCTCTAGAAATCCCTCTTCACATAAAACACCTGGGCCGGGTCTTTGAATGTAATCATATTTTGTATTCTTCTCTTCCTTTTTTCTTTTTCTTTGGTGGCAAGAGAGAAGAGTTAACACACTTGATTCTAAAGCTTTTACAAGCCTGGAAAGAGCCACTGTCCCATTTTGACCAGAATGTTATTCATCGCCGCAAATTACCTGATGAGAGCCTGAGTAAAGCAAGAGAGATCAGCAGCATGGTGCATGAACTGGAGACTGGCGTGGAAAAAGTAACAGAAAAGGCAGGCTTGCTTACATTGAGCCATAAGATCGGAATTTGGTATTTTACTTTTGTGTGTTACCCAAGCCTATTCCAGAGAAGTACCTCCCTGATGTACCCGAGCCAGCATGTCCATACTGGCTGGCCATGAGAGTCATTACAGGCATTGCACCCTGATTTCTAAAGCGTAGTTTAAGCATTTAAAAGGGTTAAGACTAAATTTGACTGCTTTGGATGGTGTGCTAAACTATGGTTTAACAGCAAAAGAACAAACTTAGTGGCTCACAGTCTTTCATGCTCTTCTTTTTTTCCTTCTCAGACCTAGCTGAAAAGAGAATATTGACAACTTCTGCTGGTTTTGATTAACCATAGTTTAATGTTACATTCAAAGCCTAAACTCTGATTGCTTAGTTGAATCAAGCCAGCTTGGTAAACTATGGTTTGAAATTGCTTTGCTTCAAGAAACTATAGTTGTAGATTGGCCAGATTTTTTTTCAGATGTCAGAGAAACAATAAGCTGTAGTTGATTTTTTTCAAGTATAAGGGAAGCCCTCATCACTACTTTGTAGCAGGGAAAGAAATGGGGGTGATAGTGTTCATTCTTGTAATGCTTAACATGCTTTATGGCTTAAAAACCTGCCCAAGCTGTAGCTTTCTTACAATATTGCATTCAGTGCTCATGCTGGGCAGTTCTTATTGCCTGGTTCTACTTTCACATATTTCATTTCATGCTGAAGTGCTGATCTGAGAAGCTTTTGTGTATTTTTGAACGCTTTGCACATGTTCTTTTTCTCTCATCATAATGGTTTAGCTGATAGAACTCATTATTTAAGAGTCTATAAACCCTGATTCTGATATTTTTAATTCCAACTTGGTTTGCAGGCACATTGGAAGTTTGGTTTTTTTCATTTTGTCTACATTCTGCCAAGAGAGGTTATACACTTGCTTCCTCTTTCTTCTTTCTTTGATACAGATGCAGTCAATGGGGATCATTAGCAATTCACTGAATGGTGTGGGATCATCAGAAGCAGCTGGTTTATCCATTAATAATAGAGCAAATTTAATGAGTGACTATGAATTTATTCATTGCTTCAGGAGAGACTCCAACAAAGTACAAAACTACTTAAAAGTTCTGAAATGTAGGATTGTGCCTGGAAATAGTTGCTGAATTGAAATTTGTGGTGGCAGAGCAATTTTCAAGAGTACAATTGTCTATTGTCTGTGGAGAATGAGCAAAATAATTTATAAAGGTCTTTATCAGACTTGCCGTCTCAGTAAATTATTAACTGAAAACCTGGATTCATAGAGCTTTGCCTGTGATTTATTTCATATTGTAATCAGCTGAAAAATTAAAGGAGACAAATTATAGCTGTGTGGACTTGACACAGCAGACAAAATACACTTCTGTGGAAGTTCACAAATCAAATGCCTTATGAAATTGCATTCTAACAGTTCAGTCCTTTTATCTGTAAATGTGTATCTGGTTAAAACATAACTAGACAGAGAACAGACCTGGTATTTTAGATGAAGTATTTTCAGTATTGTTATTTGAAATAACATCAAATAGACTACCTACCTAGTTTTAATTCATGATCTGAAGGCATAATTGACCACACTTCTTACCCCAGCTAAAAAACAAAGACTTCTTGCAGCGTTCCTCATACATTTATGTGAAGGAAGAAACTCCATTGTACAGTGGTGCCTCGCTTGACGACGATAATCCGTTCCAGCAAAATCACTGTAGAACGAAATCGTCATCAAGCGAAAGTAAAAAACCCATTGAAATACATTGAAAACCAGTTCATTGTGTTCCAATGGGTGAAATACCTCATCGTGCAGTGAAGATCCTCCATAGGGTGGCCATTTTCCGGTGCCTGTTAAGCAAGGAATCTGTCCTAAACACAGTGGGGAGCCATTTTGCACAGCAGGGAGTCATTTTGAGAGCCGCCTATCAGCTGTTTTAAAATCGTTTAGCGAAAAACCGGTTCCCGAAGCAGGGAACTGATCGTCGTAAAGTGAATTTTCCCCATTTAGACATCATTTTGCGATCACAATAGTGATCGCAAAAACCTCATCGTAAAGCAGATTCGTCGTGGAGCGGGGTAATCGTCAAGCGGGCCACCACTGTATATGCAGAGCACACATCCTTTGGGGCAAGAAGAACTGAACAAACGTAAACCCCAGCTCTTTGCAAATGAAAAGGTCTGCGTATGAACTTAAGTTCCCATGTCCATGAGAGACATTTGGCTGTTATCATGTAACTCAACAAGAATCAAATAAAAATTGGTCTTTTATGAAACAACCTAAAAATACCTTTTAAAAATTACAGGACCCCTTCACTTCAGTTCTCCTGTATTGTACAGCCCATGTAATTTAGAAATAACTGAACATTGCCATGAGAAGATGGGATATATAAGTCCATCAGTCCTTAGATGTTTATGGTTCTGGCAAAACAGACTGCACAGTGCTGTGTTACTCATGACCAATAATTCAATTCCATTGCTAGTCCCAACTGGTCGACCCACTGAATCAAAACATGCTGACTATCCCCTCTGGTCTACTATTGTTGGGATTAGCAGTTGGATTTAGCCCTGATTTTCTCCTTGCGCGGGAATCAAGAAGGAAACTAACTGATTTATAAGATAATACTCTCTATGAAGAGAGATATAGCTAAGTACGTTTCTATCATTCCATAGTTCTTTTAGCACATGGCCAGGGGGGGGGGAGATAGCCTATAAACTGAAGGCACTGGTACAATGACAGACCTTCCCTTGAGTCCCTCCTTCCGTGACAACCCAAAACACTGCAAGTATTCAAGATAGAATCAAAACATTGTAGAGTTCTGCATAGGCCATGCTGAGTTGAGTTTTCTAGAAGCTGTAGGGGATGAAATTTTTCTAAGCTTTGGTAAACTACCTTCTAGCACCTGCTCTGCGAAGACCACTCCACCACAGTATGTGTCTGTCCTCTGTGTGAAGACTTCCCCTGAGGAAGAGTCCATCCAAACCATTTAGGTAACTTTCTATTGTCAGCCTGTTCTCCAGACGTTCAGTTGGACTCCACATTCATATTGGTTTAGCTTCTCAGAACTAGCCCTGCCTCTTGAAGCAGCAGACAAGAACATTTGACCATTTCGATATGCCCTTCCTTCAGGTATATGAAGATACCTGAAGGACCCTATTCAGTCCACTCTTCTTCAATGTAAACATGCTCAGTTCAACACAGGATTTGTAAGTACCCTGTCTATCATCTTTGTTGCTTTCTTCTGAATCCAGTTGCTGTGCTGGTATTCCAAAGGAGACATTAAGAAATGAATCAGTCTGAAGTGTATTATTGTTTTGCTGCAAAATAAATTCTTCCTACTATCCAGCAATTTCGCACAGTTTTCGGCGAACAGAATAAAATTTAAAACCACAGTTTAGCAAGTAATTCCCATTAAATTCAGTGGAATTATATAGGCTAAATTTTCTCTAAAATCACCTAGTCTATTTCGTTTTATTTCAGTTTTGGAGTGTTGTGGCTGCAAGGTTTGGAATCTTAGGTGTAAAAAAATACAGAATATTCTTGTTCCAAAATTGTAAAGAAATCTCTGGAATTCCTACATGCAACTTGACTCCTTAGACAAATGAGAATTAGCTGTTTTTTAAATCAGAGTAACTGAGTCGGAAGGGGCCTGTAAGGCCATCAAGTCCAACCCCTGCTCTATGCAGGAATCCAAATCAAAGCGGACTTGACAGATGGTTGTCCAATTTTCTCTTGAATGCCTCCAGCCTTGGAACAATCACCACTTCCTAAAGTAATTGGTTCCATTGTCATATCGCTCTAACAATTAACCAAAGCAGTGTCTGGGAGTGAATACTGTTAAGTCAAACACGCTCTTTCAAGTAAAGTAACTTCATTAATCTGATACCACATCAATTGTGCACTATGAAATACTGTAGCACACTATGAAGTTTTCTGTACCTGTAGTACAGAAAAAGACACAGTAATGCAGGTTAACTGGGTAAAGGTAAAGGTAAAGGTAAAGGTTCCCCTTGACAATTTTTGTCCAGTCGTGTTCGACTCTAGGGGGCGGTGCTCATCCCTGTTTCCAATCCACAGAGCCAGCGTTTTGTCCGAAGACAATCTTCTGTGGTCACATGGCTAGTGCGACTTAGACACGGAACGCTGTTACCTTTCCACTGAGGTGGTCTGTATTTATCTACTCGCATTTGCATGCTTTTGAACCGCTAGGTTGGCGGGAGCTGGGACAAGCGACGGGAGCTCACTCTGTCGTGTGGATTCGATCTTACAACTGCTGGTCTTCTGACCCTGCAGCACAGGCTTCTGCGGTTTAGCCCACAGCGCAGTTTCTGCGGTTTAGCCCACAGCACAGGCTTCTGCGGTTTAGCCCACAGTTAACTGGAAGCCATGTAAAATATGCTTCAAAAAGCTACAAACCTCTGCAATGTATTCAGTGACTTGGTATTTGTTCTCATTATGTGATGAGAATTGTTGGAGTAGGTGAAGAATTTGTCTGCATTTGTCCCCATTTCCAAATGCAAAGAATTCCATAAAGGAATTCTCACACTTTAGTAAGGTAAAATGAACAATTAGATACACTTCAGATGCCATGAAGGTCTCCATCGTTTTCCTTTTCTGCTATATTCAGGAAGGGGCCTTCCCTAACCAATGTATAGCTTAGCAGTTGACACAGTTTAGTAGTCTTGGGAACAGACTCGCAGCTCTGTCCTTTATTCCCTCTCATGAATCAGCCCACCCTTACAGGTACAAACTAGGCAGACTCTATAAGTGTCATAGCAGTGGTGAGCTTCAGGGTCCCAATAACTGACCTCACTCATATGGGGTAGAGTCAATGTGTCGCATTTTCACAGCTACATAACTTTGCTTGAAGTCTTCAGTGGATCAAACTAAGAGGCATTCCAGCCTGTGCAAAGCTGGACACGTTTGCTGTCACAAAAGGGTTTCGCCTGAAATCGGTACTCTGCTGCCATTTTACGCCATCATTCCCCACCCTTATGATCCAATCGCTTTGTCCATGGTCCCTTGTTATTGATACAGATACAGTGAGTCGGGAGACACGCTTGCTTTTGTTGCTGGTTGCAAGTTCCTTCTGCTGTTGTTCCGTCTCTCAGAATGGTCTGGGTGATTCTGCCATCGTGGACTTGGCTGCTCTGTAGACATTTCCCAGGCAGAACATGATGAAGAGGTAAAATTCAAGGCAGATTTGGAAAGACAGGTCTCTTGAAGACCTTCCTCTGGCAGGCACCGACTTGAAAGCACTTCTTTTTCTTTGGAGTTTCGCCATTTCATCCTTCGATTTTGAAACCAAATTTTAACCTGTAGATGGGTTCATTTCAAACTTATTCTTAATTTTCAAGATACTTTTTCCCAAAATAAACTTTTCAAAATCTCTTATGCCATTCATACCCCCCTCCAAGTACAACAGCATTTCAAGATGATAAATATATGTTGCCATACAGCTGCTTCTATAGGAGACAGTACAGCAGAGGAACAGGTTCTGACCATCACCAATGAGAATCAAGGTTCAGAACCTGAAGCACCTCCATCTCTGCTATAGAAGATCTATCAGAGCTTAGGAAGAAGTTCCTTACTTGTGGCAAATACGTCATCTGTATCATCCACTCTAAACCGAAAGTGCAGATATTTTTGTTCCCACTAATCCCACAACTGTGATTTGTGCTGCGTGATTCAGTTGATACCTTCTCTGTTGTATGAGTTCCCTTTGTATTATCTTTTATTGCAAGCAAATATCATAACAAAATTCACTTCCTCTCCTTCTCCAACAGAACAGCTAAGTACACTTTCACATCTTTAAGAATTACCAGAAACTAAGAATATATCTACATTGTACAGTTACAACAGTTTAATATCACTTTGGTTGCCATGGCTCCATCCTATAGGATTTGGGGATTTATAATTTGTTAAGATAATTTCAACTCCTTGCTGGAGAACTCTCATTCATTCTTCTCACTATCAGCACTAGTACTCTCTAGGAGAGAAGTTTTAAATATCTCACCAGGAGATATGCTGAGATATTTAAATATTGATGTTAAAAGCAATAAAACAACAATGGATTCCATAGGATGATGACATTGATGAGGCGCTTGCACATTCTAAGCCTACCTCCTCTCGATTGGACTCATGTCCCTTTCAGCTTTTAAAAGCTGCCAGAGAGGGGACTACACAATGGGCCTGCCAGGTCATCTTCCCCTCTGTCTGAGACAGTGGTCAGGCCATCCTGAAAAAGGCAACATTTCCATTGGATGATTTTAACTGCTATTGTTCCATCACCACTGGTTGAGGGGGTGGCAGCTAAACAGTTGCAGACATTCTTGGATGACACCAGTAGTCTTGCTCCACTTCTGTCAGGTTTTAGGCCTCACCATGGGACTGAAATAGCTTTGGTCATGCTGCTCAATTACCTTCTCTGGGAGGCTGACAGAGGGAGTGTGACCCTGCTGGTCATCCTGGATCTCTCCTTTGGTACCATCGACCACAGTATCCTCCTGGGCCAATTCTTGGGATTCGGGGTTTGTAATGCACAGGCCAGAAACCACACCTGTCCATCACAATGGAATACTGCTTCAGTAGCCAATGGTTGTGCATGAGGGTGGAACCAGGTAATATAAGAAGAGAATGGGGGACAGTTAGAGTTTCAGTTAGAGTTAGGATTTGAGTTAGCCAGGAGTTAGGGAAAGAGTTAGGTAGTCTGAAGAACTGTTTTGAAAAGAAACACTTGGAAAGAAATGTATAAGAGAACTGAATGCAACTGTTTTAAAGGGATTAAAACTAAATACAAAGTAACCAGCATATTTCTAAGTTAAATGAAGTTTAATGAATACCAAATACTATTCCATCTATGATCTCCTTGATTCTTATGTTAATCTATTAATAAACAACATTATATTTTACACGAGTGATTCTGTGGTCCTAATTGGTAATTGAGGAAGGATTTCCTCTGGTGGCAGGGGAAGTGGGGACAAGAGAAATTGTCAAGCCCGAAGGCAAATCTGTTTGTTAGAGAGAACATACAGAGGAGCTGGGGGTGTGTGACATGGTTCTTCCTTGAAGGCCGGTACCAGAGAGTTCAACTGGGGAAAGCTGTTTCATCCTCTTCAGTACCGCAATGCAGTGTCCCACAGGGATCAATCATATCCCCATTGCTCTTCAACATCTATATGAGACCGCTGGGAGGGATTATCTGGAGTTTTGGAGTTCACTGCCATCAGTATGCTGATGGCAGGCAACTCTATCTCTTCTTTTTCTCCTCAGCAGTGAAAACTGTGCAGACCCTGGAGCATTGCTTGGCTATGGTTATGGATTGGACAAGGGCTAACAGGTTGAACCTGAATCCAGATAAGACGGAGGTCCTGCTCTTAGGAGGGACTCCAGATTGACTCAGTAGTAGTCTGCCTAGTCTTGATGGGGTCACACTCTCCCCGAAGGATGAAGGATCAGGTGTGTAACTTGGATGTGCTGTTAGACCTGGCCCTCTTAATAGAGAATCAGATCTCAGCTGTGGCCAAGTCCACTTTTTGCCAGCTGAGGTGGATCAGAAACCTTCATCCCTATCTCAACAGGGAGCCCTAGTCCATGTAGTTGTAATCTTGAAAATAGAGTATTGCAATGCTCTCTACGTGGGGCTGCTCTTGAAAGTGGTTCAGAAGATACAGCAGGTGCAGAATGCTGCTGCCAGGTTGGCCTCTGGGACATCTCTTTATAATTATATAACTCCTATCCTGTCTCATCTGCAATGGTTGCCTATTTCCTTCTGGGCCATGTTCAAAAGTGGTATGTTAACTTTTAAAGACCTTAACAATTTCGGAGCTTGTTACCTAGCTGAGCGCCTCTTCCTCAAAACACCTACCCATCCCACCCACATCCCTCATATCGGGAGGCTCCAGGTGCCCATCTCAAGAGAGAGGTCCAGAAATCCAGGCCTTCTCTGTGGTGGGCGCTTCAATTTGGAACTCCCAGCCACCAGAGGCAACTGGCCCCATCCCTCTTGGGTTTTAGGAGGCAACAGAAGACCTAATTGTTTTCCCAGGACTTTGAATAATTTGCCCCTCTTATGTATCCCTTGTGCTGCCAGCCTACCATTTTCACTCTTGTTTTATGAATAATTTGCCCCTCTTATGTATCCCTTCTGCTGCCAGCCTACCATTTTCACTCTTATTTTATTGTTTTTATCATTAGCATTGTTTATGACTACATGTCCTTTTGTTAGCCACCCAGAGTAGTAGCTTGGTTACTAGTTGGGTGGGATATATATAAATAAATATAAATAAATAAATAATCCCTTGGCTATCAAGTGGCATCAAATTGCTGCATTTGTGAAAAATAGAACAGCCACTGTCAATCTTTTTTCCCTCCCACAGCCATAAACACAATATGAAAGAAATATAGGCTGAATCAGGATTGCATAAATTGCATAATGAACTTCATCAGGTGATGAATTGTCTGTCACCCCCTTCAAATGTGTCAAAGCCCCCCAGGAGGCCATATGTTCCCTGTTGAGAATGGCTGCTCTAGAAGTTGGTTGCTGAAGTTGATATGCCATTGATATTCAGATTTTTTCCCTCTACTCTTGTGGTGCTGATCTTGTTTTAATCACAAAAGAAGACTTTCAATATTTGCACCATGACTTATGCTCTATCAGATCTTTCTTTACCTGTGACTCTTTTAAGGCCAGACTGAGAGCTAATTTCTTTCTGTCAGTTTTGCTGATATATTTCTGTTTTTGAAACATTTTCTCCAAAGCTTTTCTTTGTTCTTCAGAAAAGACAGCTCTTCTTAAGATGCCTCTCCGGGATCTGGAATCTTGGTTTAGTAGAGGTAGAACACTTTCTTGTCCTAGAACAAGAAAAACACTAAAACAGTTTGCAGCAAATTAAATCAGCATCCATACAGGTCTTTGCATGGAGTCCTTGGTCTAAACATTAAACTAGATATATAGTGAAGAGACATGATGGAAGCGCCATCACAGGTCTTGAACCAGGCCATGGTCTTCAACCTTCTAGAAAACTCTGTGTTAGTGACAAGATTCTCCTAATTTTGGATCAATACAAATTAGTCTAGTAAAAGATGGCATTTCCATCTTTCACTAGAAAAAGATAAGCTACACCAACAAGCTCTACAAAAGCTGAAGGCTTATTGACAGGTTTTCCATTCTATCAATTTCATCTATAGTCATAACACTGACGTGCAGTGAATTATTTACCTGATCCATTGTAGGATCCACTGAGGGAGGTAATTCAACTTACCCTCAGAGCACAATGATTGTCTCAGGACCAATGATCAGCAGCAAGCTGGGAGACCCCATCCAAGTGAATTCCACACTCAGGGGATGTAATACCATGTTGACACAAACGCTAATATGGTACCAAATACTTTTTGAAAAAAGCCTTTCCTTCTTATTCTAGTATATGGTGATAAACGTCTTCTTAATCTGTGGAACAATCTTCATTTGCTTTTGTGGCAAAGACCACCTCGAAGGAGCGAGGAAAGGCTTTCGTCATGGTTTCCATTTTTCCATTGCCATTCAATACACTTGAGTTAAATGGACAATTAATAGGTCACTTCCAAAATAGTAGTGTATCAGTCCTGGTTCATAAACAATTGCCACAGTTGATAATGGGCCCATGTGTATTCAAGGAGTCCCTGTTATGCACTCAGCTCAGCTCACTAAATTCCTTTTCAGGTAGACAGGGTTATATGGGAAGATGAGCTAGAATGAGTCTATAAAAGTCAGTTTCATTCACTGCTTTATTTTTCAGTCAAGTGCGTTAAAGGGCATCCAGAAATCCTCGTGGAATGTGAGACAGGAGAAAAGATCGGCACATAGAGCACCCCTTTATGGCCCCACAAAAGGGCAAGTGACCCTTGGCCGGGTCTTTTCAGCCCAAAATGGTTTCTAAAGTTCATCGCCCCAGTGAAAAATGGTAGTGAGGTCGCGTGTGGGTGAGTAAAGTGAAAGTGGTGATTGGTCACAGTGCTGTTGCTCATTGTGAGGTAGCTGGGGCCCATATGAAATGCTCTGTGGGAAAGTGTCAGCCCCCTCAAGAGAGGCTCCGAAACTCAAAGCTCATTAAACTGGCAGCATTTGCTGCCTCACTTGTCAAGAAGCATTCCACTTAGCAACTGGCTTTCTGAAAACATTCAAAGAAACCTACCCCCACTGCCACTCCTAGCTGCATAGGCAGCCATGTCTTCGGCTTCAAATCTAGCTGTGATGCCTGTAAATGCTGCAGACATTGTAGGTTCAAATGTGCCTTTAGATCCGTACTTTGACATCCCTGTTGCAACATTTGAGCAGTTTATTGGTGGAAGGATTCTTGGTTCTGCCTTCCTCAGGACCTTTATGCCAATCTCACCAGTGTTTGGGTTTGGGTGCCTGACATGAGGATAGGTAGTTCTTTGTGCTTGTAGTATCTTCCTCAACGAATGGTGAGCAACCCTCCAGAAGTTGGTGGACTGCAACTTCTGGCAGCCTCGCCAGCATAGTCAGTAGTGAGAGATGATGAGAGTTGAAACCCAACATCATCCATACATCGCAGATGACTATCCATGTCCTAAACACGTTGTCATGAGAAGAGATGCCACCAGAGTCAGTAAGGAGCTGTGGCTGAATAAATAAGAGAAAGGTTGGAGTATATCCATCTTCCTAGCCGAAAAGCTAAATCCAAATGACCTGCTCATTTGGGTGTTTTCTTCTGTCCAATTTTCATACTTTTACATTGGTAAAAGAAAAATACTACAAAAAGGCCAGGATTCTGGAGGGAGGAATTCTACATCTCCCCATAGCAGAAAACCTGCTCCAAAAGGCTGGGAAGCCCTCCAGAAGAGGCTTTTAGGAAGCACAGAGGTGACAGATTGTGGAAGGCATGGAAGGAAGTTTTGACATAGGAGCAGATGGTTGTTGAGATTATATAGCTTGTAGATATTTGTGTTTCAACATTTTATTTACTCATTAGATACATTTATTTTCCATCCTTTGCTCAGTTGCCTCATGGTATTTCTCCCCCTTCTTATTATTTACAACAAACCAGCGAGGTAGGTCGGGGGGGAGAGAGAGAGAGAGAGAGATGAGTGCAAAGTCACCCTATGATATCCATGGATCAGGAGAAGCTACAGCCTAGATTGTTCAAGCCCCTTGGTCCATGGAGTGAAACCTTCGAGCACAAAAAAGGGACTGGAAGAGAGCTTTGATCCACCCTACCTATCCACTTGCCAAACTTCCTTTTAAATTGTTCTCAGTCACCTTTGCTTTTCATGAACTCAGCATGACCTGCTTCAGGTCATGCCATCACAACATCTAATTTGGCCTTGGTGTGAGTTTAAATGGAAAAGAATTAGAACAGACTGATAATAGTTATCATGACTAGCATATTTATGACAGCTATAACAAAGAAATAAAAGGCACATCATCATAATGACAAAGCAGTTTTCTTTCCTCCATTTGTAGCAGAGCCTCTAAAATTCTAGAAAATTGTAATATTGTAAACATTCAAAACATACATGTAAAATACAATCCTCTTCAGTAGAAAGCACTATGGAATTCAGTACAATCTTTAAAAATGTCACTTAAAGTCACTAGAGCCATCAAAACACCAAGAATATTCAAATATCTCCAAAACACTGAAGATATTTTGTTTAAAAATAGCTAGAATCCTATTGCCAGTTTATGCTTGCATAAAGGAAATCATGTAAGTCTTGGTGGCTAATTGCCAGTTATTAATGAAGGAGTGTTTGAGTATGCAGTAATTAATTTTAACATCTACCCTTGCCTGGTCCTTTTGTGATCTGTATTTTTGTTTACAGTTCCAATTATCTGTGTATTTTTGTGTTTAAGTTTTTTTAAGTCATAAAGACACAGTCTGGACAAGGTTAAACATTTAAATCCAACTGTTAATCCCAGTTGGGGTAAATACACTGCTCAATGAGACTTAACCTAAGTATTAACTTTAAAAGGTCCATTCATTCAGCGAGTCTGCTTTCATTAGAACTAACAATTGGGTTTAGCCATTAACACTTCTATTTATATTGAAGATGTCTTAACACTTCAGCTGAAGCCAATGGGACTGAAGATGTCTTTACCTTTCGCACTATGGTCTCGAAATTTTGAAATTCAGAGAGGAGCTTGTTTAAGAAAAAAACAAAGTGGATCTTTTTTTTCTAAATCCTAAAAGAGGTTAATATTTCCACACATAAAGACCAGTGTTTTGTTTTGCTCCTGGATTTCCCATTTCCAAATAAGCAGTGATTCAGGTCTTCTGAAAGCAAATTGTAGATCTTTTCTCTAGCCTCTGAAAGCCAGAAACCTTTCTTGGTTGGCACTTTTCTCTCAATGGCATTTGAAATCTCCCACAATTACTCAGTGTGCTGAAGTCTGATAAATCTTTGGAGCTCTCCTGAATGGGATTGCTCCGATTTTTACAGAGGCATTAGCTCCTTGCCGTTGCATCACCAATTAGTTTTCTTTCCCAGAGCACATTAAATCCTGCTGCTTTGGTTTACAGGATAACTCAAGCATTACTGATGAAGCATAAAAACTTACTTGCAAAAGCAGTGGGAGATGCCGGGTGTTGACAGGACCCACCGCAGCACGCCGAATAGACTGGCGGGGCTCGCAAGAAAAAGTGCTTTGGAAGAGCTGCAAAGTGCAAACACAAGAATCAAGTCCAGCGAATGTTACTGAGCCAACACTTTAAATACAGTTTAAATTATATATATAATGCTGCAATAGGAACCTCTTTAATTGGTTTGTCATAACTTTCTCAGTGACACAGAGTCCAAAAATAATCCCTGGGGCTTTTCCCCCCTAGTTAAATACAAACACTGGGACAAGGGAGATGATAAATCAGATTTTATTTCATAAGTGTCATGCTGATCATTTGAAATTTAAATTTAAATGAACCATCCTATTGCATGTATATCACATGGCAATGATTTTGCCAGTCACACACTTTGGTACCACCTCATCATTGATGATTCCTAAGAAACAAATTCTGGGAAATGGGAGTGTATTCGTCTGTATTTGAAATATGAATTTTAATGGATTTCAATATTGCACATCTTCCAATACAGTTTGCAAGCAATTTGGGACATCTGAATATATCCTGCTTCTGTTGGGAGTTATTTGTATCCCATCTGATTTGATCTGCCCTGCTTTGCTAAGCCAAAATGTCTGTAACTTTTCTGCTTTCATACTGATAAAATGTGGACACATAATAAAACCTAAAGAGATAAGTAAATCTTTTACATTTCAGATGGATAGCTTCAAGGGCTTTTATACTGGGCACCTTTATATTCCCATTAAAAACAAAACAGTGGACTGAAGCTATTTGAGCCCCCACCCAATTCAATTTGTTCTTCAGATCAGAACTTAGTGAAGATCCCTTTCATTTTGCTCAAGAACTCAATTCAGCCATTTTGCTTTGATCACACAAACTATTCCAAACCCAGGCCAGTTCACGTTGGAACTTGTGATTTGTCTGGCATCCAGTGCATAGTTATCATGGGTTTACAAAAAATAACAGTAATTTAAATCCAATAGTTGGTTTATTTGAACTGACTTTTTTGTAGTTCCAACTCATCTGAAATGCCAGCATTAAAAAAATTACTTGTTTAATATTCCTTGGGTACATTTTAAATCCAATGATCTGCAGGCAAGTTAATTTGTGCATTAATCCTAAAAACAGAAATCTAAGAAACAAAAGTTCACTTAGATGGATAGGCTGTTTGCGTGCAAGTGGTCTGAGTGCTGTAACTTGCCCTGTGGATCTAGAGATGTTTTCCATGGCAATGCAAAATGAATGAATGACTGAATTAATGAATGAATGAATTAATGAATTAATGAATGAATTAATGAATGAATGAATGAATTTATTGGAGGACTGCCCTTTCTGCCCAGTAATTTACTGCATGCAGATGCGTTGCTACAAATAATTTGAAAAGAATTTCAACCAGCTGTTCTCTGAGCATCAATTCTAAACTGATCAATTCATCTTAACTACTGGAAAAGCAAGATCAGGTCACCACACAGGTGGAGTTGCATCAGACATGGGAAAGTTGCTTCTTTAGATTGCACCATTCACAGTCCCCCGGACAGCACGATCATTCTGCAAGTTTAATGAAAATTCTGAATTCCACATATGCAAGAGCAGTTCCTCACTTTTTCCAGCAATCATCAACCATAACATTGAATATAGTCTTTCAGCTTTCAGCACCTTATTCAAAAATACTGTACAAGAATGAGAAAGCACTCATCAGGTATTTTTCAGCATTATGTTGTCTACATTGGGCTCCCTCAGTTTTATTTAGCAGTTCCTCACTTTTTCCAGCAATCATCAACCATATGATTGAATATAGTCTTGCAGCACCTTATTCAGAAATACAAGGATGAGAAACCACTCATCAGGTATTTTTCAGCATTATGTTGTCTACATTGGGCTCCCTCAGTTTTATTTGAATCATATTTATTTAGAAAATGCTTAGAAGTACTTTTATCAACACAATCAATCTAATGGAATTGCATCCTGTGTGACAGAGTGGTGGACAGAGTGTCAGATTAGGACTCGAGAGACTGGGGCTCAAATCTCTGTTTAGCCATGGAAAGTCACTAGGCTGGCAATGGTTGATCACTCGTTGAACGTCTCAAATACCTACATATAAAACATTCTCCATTTTGTATCATATCCATATACCAGCTTTTAATGATGCACTTAAAAAAAAGAAATTCACAAAAACCAGTCTTGCAAATGTGCAAAATTTCTCCAAGCCTGATCACTCTCCCCACTTCCAGTCTCTCTGGACAGAGGAAGAGTTAGGTAGCATCAGTGGAAGGAACTTACATTCCTGGAGCAAAAAACCTCCTAAGCCATCACTCTGGCTCTGCTGTTGCACTGATTGACTGGAGGTTGCCCGTGTGCAAGGGTATTTGGAAAGCACAGGGTTCTCCCCTGCGTTTGGATCTTCCATCATTGTACCCATAGAGCACCCTTTGTCAGAAGGTTCTTGGCTCACTGAAAACCAGAACTTGGCATAGTTATTTTTGCAGATTATTTGTAACTTCTTGAGTCAACATGGTCAATGATTATGTAGGCTAGAGGATTCTGGGAGCTGTGGTCCTAAAAAGTAATGGTTCTATGTCAGTAGTTCCCAACCTTGGGTCTCCAGATGATCCTGGACTACAACTTCCAGAAATCCTGGCCAGCACAGCTAGTCGCGAAGGCTTCTGGGAGTTTTAGTCCAAGAACAGCTGGAGACCCAAGGTTGGGAAATATTGTTCTATACCCTGTGATGGACTGTGCATATCCAAAGAAAGGTGCAAGACTAAGGCTTGACAGATTGTTTCCACACAAAACCATCATGGCACATAGCTCAGATAGGGACTTCTTTAATCAGCAGTAGAGCCCTCATTGAATCCAAATGCTTTCAGGCGTCTCAACATGAATATATGAGAGTCAACATCTAAGGCAGCTTGCAAGTCCCACAACATCTGCTTTACTGCAGATCTGCCGAAAGCCATTTCACAGTCCAATGTGACTAAACCCACATACATTTGCACAAGGGCTTGCCTTTGTAAACTGGAGAGCCTGCTCTTGTTTGAAGAAACAGCTCCACAAGGGGCTCCAGCAAAAAAATTCAAGAATAAAATGAATATCATATCTCTAAGACCTTCTACCATTTTGGATAGGCTTTTTAAAAAAGTTTGGTTCAGAAACTTGTAGAATGATGGAATAGAGTACTTGTGTATGTAGCAAGTGATCAGCTTTGGGTGGTGGAAATGGGCAGATAGCTAACCTACAAGAAAGGTAGATTAGGGGAAATGTGACATAGGTAGATAAAATGAGGTGGACTTCACTACCACAGGGTGTAGTGATGGCTGCTAACCTGGGCTGATTTAAAGGAGGATTGGATAAACTCATGGAGAAAGGAACTGTCAGTGGTCACAAGCCATCCCTTCTGAGAGAACCAAAATTGGCTCTCTCCCTCTTATCCTTTCATCAGCAGGCAAAGGCATTTTGGTTCCAGCAAGTCTGAGCAAAAGCAAAGTGTGCTGCTTATATATCACCCCATAGTGCTTTAGATACTTTCTAGGCAGTGCAAATTAATTATGCAGGCTACATACTGCCCGCCCCCTCTCCCTGCTGCTGCCACCCCTGCCAGCTGGGTACTCCATTTACTAACCTGGGCAGGATGGAAGGCTGAATGAATTTTGAGCTGGCTGTCTGGGATTGAACCTGGGTTACGAGCAGAATTTTGACTGCAGTACTGCAGTTTAACCACTGTGCCACGCATTTCATCTGGGCAACTTGACTGGCTGTTAAGGAAAATGTACTGTCTTTTGTTTGTTTGTTTCAGAAGTGTTAAAGTTGTTTTACTTCTATAGTGTTTTAGTAGTACAGTTGCTTTAATGGCATTGTAACATGATCATCTTTTACATGCTGTCACCTGCACCGATCTTTTATCTACTTTCATTTGCATCCAGTTTAACTGTGCCTTGGCCCTGCAAATCAGTTGCTGGAGAGCATGGCGTGCAGGAGATGCTCTTACACTTTATACCCTCCTTGTAGGGTTCAAGTTGGCCACCAAGAGGAGCGGATATTGGATGAGATGGGCTTTTAACCTGATCCAGCATGACTCCTCTTGTGTTAATTGTTAAGAGGTTACCTGCCGATTTTCTTACTGGGAATTTAAAAACAACAGCAACACTTGGGCTTGCTCAGTGTTTCCTCACAGTTGCTTTTTCAGCTGGATTGCTTCTACTCCAGGTGTTCTTCCTCCTCTCAATGGACAGTTTGTGTTTGTGTGCGGCGCAGATCAAACTGCATCAAACGGAGGGGACAGTGTGAGCCCTGGCATCAAAACGATCTGCAGCCTCCCTGCGGTTTCTGGTCTCAGAACAGAAATATAAAGCAGGGTGCAAATGAAGCTAAAGCTTTCCAGTGCAGTTGCAGCCTCAGCTAACTAAGTTTTAAAAACTGTTCAGGTCAGTCATATACAAAAGATGTGTCAGGAACATTGAGGGCCTGGGTCTTAAAAGATCATTCATTGGTCTTCATCACCCATTAGCCGTTCTCAGCATAGCCAATGGGGAGGGCTAATGGGGCTGACAGCCCATAAACATCTGGAGGGCTGCAAGTTGCTCACCTTTCCTATTAAATACAGGTTATAGCTTTACAGGAGGCTATCAGGGGATTTTTTTTTAACCCGAAAGACAGGAGACTGGTTATTATATCCCCCAAGATAAGCTTGCATGTGGATCCTTTGATCTCATCTAAGAGGAAGGATAACTCCCTCAACTTCCTGAAGCAATTTTTGTAAGAAATGTAATTAGGCCTAGAACAAACTGCAGCTATAGATCCTAAGTATTTTACAAATGAGCCAGGCCTGCTATACTCAGCAATAACAGTCAAAGTTAATTATTCTTCTATAAGGAATCAAACTGATTTCACATTGCCTTAAAAAACAAACACCCTGATACCATCACAATTCAAACTGATTCTTCAAGCTTGTCATCTCTAACTTTGGATTCTGTGGTTTTAAGCATCTAGCCAGGGCGATTGTAGACTTTTCTGCCTGTCCCTCACCCCACTACCATCACCTCAAGCTCTACAATAAGCAGCCTGATGAAGATTCCTAGGTCCAAAATATTTTAGTACCACCAACACTTATTTTGAATATTGTTGATGTGTTCCCTTTTTTTCAGTTTAGGTACATTTTCAGTCTTCTGCAGAGACGCACTGATCACCACAGAGTGCAAAATTATAACTGTTCCAGTCCCACACAAGCAAATAAGACTGCACTAGAACTAAATGGCAGTAGGAACATCGTATCTGCGGGGGCTCAGTTTCACAATCTACCGTGGATACCTGAAACCAGAGATACAAGGCAACTCTATACACAAAATACCAGAGGGCAGGGCAGTGGCCCCAAGGGAGTACGGCAAACCACAGAGAAGTGAAACTCCAGATAATGATCCCACAGATACAGGAGTCCTGCTGTACTCTGGCTAAACTAGGAATCAATTACAGCATCGTGTCTGAATTTATGCCACGCTGGTCCTCTTTCTTCTGAACAGACTGAAGCTCTAGGCCTTTAAAAACGGTGACAAACTGAAAATGTCAGGGTGGCTCATTCAAATGCTGTGGAGCTTTATCTGTTGATTTCTGCCTGTGGTGCAGCTTTGAAAGGGGGGGTGGAATTCAGAAGTATTGGTAGGGTGTAGGCAGAATGTGGTGGTTGGAGATTCAAAGACTTGTAATCCTAAAAAGTATATTTTTCCATTCTGTAGATTCAGGCAGCTGATTGCAAGTTTCACGAAAAGCCATTATAACTTTTATTTAATAGAGTTGTGCAGATTTGTGCTTTGGACTCCAGGTCCTAAAATTCTCCAGGCAGTGTGGCCACCAATAATCGATATACATCTGTCTTTTTTTAAAAAAAATTAAGTGTAACTCTACTTTTACCCCATGAAGAGAAACACTCGTAGGATTTTCTATCTCAGATATTAATATAGCCTGACCAGTCCAGAACAGGAGTGGAGTATGGGGGCCATTTCCTGTTTCACCTCAGAATCAAAATTGTTTTGAGCTGCCCTGTAACCCTAGCATGAACACATTAATCAGACAGAAAGTGCCACTGAGGATAATAATAACAGACATTAATTTTGCCTGCTTATTTATCTAGGAGACAACGTGTTTCTTGGTTTAGATTTTGTTGCTTCTCAATCTGTTTTTCATCATGCTTTTACCTAACATTTACATATAGTTTTATTAATTCTTCTTTAATATTTGACTCATTTTTAGCTTTTTATACTGTATTGGGTTTTTAATGATGCAAGGCACTGTGGGTTCTTTTTAGGAGAAAGGAGGAGTAAAACTATTTCAAATAAATAAAATAAATAAATTAGAGCTATGTACCCCGCGGTGAGCCTAGCATGCTTTATTCCTGGGTTCACTTTCCATTGTGTAACAATTTCTACTTAATTAAACCTTTCTTTTATTCAGAGTTCTGATTTTTGGGACAAAACAAAGAAATCTAACATGCTACAGATCATCTATCTGGATGAAGACAATAATACCATTATACCAGGCATGGCATCCAGAAAAAGTTAGATTGAACAAAGCATGTTTTTAGCTTTGTTCCCACAGTTCCAGCAACAAAAGAGACCAAGTGCTTAATAAAAATAATAACCCTGCATAGTACCTTTATCTTTTGCAGCAAAAGCGACAAATTAGGCTCTGATGGTACGTATGGATACTGCTCACACTTTTCATATCTTCAGATTTTCACTCCATGACACTTAATAAAAATAATAACCCTGCATAGTACAGTACCTTTATCTTTTGCAGCAAAAGTGACAAATTAGGCTCTGATGGTATGTATGGATACTGCTCACGCTTTTCCTATCTTCAGATTTTCACTCCATGACATACCGGTATTTAAAACCCCTTGCACCCTGCTGTGATTACACTTTGGATAACATGTCCATAAGCGTCAGTGAGAAAAGGATTGTATCAGTGCACTGTCTCGGACATTAAAAGTATCATTCACTGCTGTGCAAGTACTATTCCTTTCAGAGTAACAATTGCTTTTCTCTCTCTTTTATTAGTTAAAATTTATCTGGATCATTTTAAATATCCTTTGTTAAAAGAAATGTGCAAGCTTTTGAGTTGCACATAATTTGTCATTAGGATGCGGGTGTTACTGGTGGGTGCATGCGTTATCTGTTTAGATTGCCAGAAGTTTTGTGGTTTGTTCATGCTGAAGTCCTGGAAATATTGCACCCAATCTTAGTTTAGTTCTAATTATTTCATAGTTAATCATATTTTATTTTGATTATTAACTGAGTAATTAATTGTTAATTTCTATTATCACTTAATATTAATTAAGGATTTCTGAGACAATATATTTAAAGTGATTTATAGGAAGGCTTCAATGTCCTATAGAAATGCTAAGGACTGCTATCAATCATAATTAAACTTAGAAGCTTGTCTGTTTATAACCAGTTTAGAGCTTATACCATAGGGATATAGTGAGCGATCTATAATGAAGCAAACAGTGTAAGCTGGCATCTTTTACCATCCAACAAACTTTGTTTGGTTTAGGCTCATCTAAACTTTTTTTTGCATATTTTGTTCTCTGTTTAATTTCTGGTTCTTGGTTTGTTTAAAAGCTGCATATAAAAACTGGAAATATAGAATGTTATTTTTAGGGTGAATTTAGGAGACTTATATTTAACAATGATTTTTACTGATTTAAGTTTCATTGGTGTACTTTTTATTTTTTAATACTGGGAGTTTAATCAATTGATCAATGGGTTTTCCCCCCCCCCAAAAAAAATACAGACTGAAAGTGGATGGGAAAACTGTACAGTAGAGAAGAGAGAAGCAGAGTTTTTACACAGAAATTGTGCTCAAGGTTGGAGAGACATGTTTGTATCATCTCACCATTTTGAAAGCAGTGTTAGCCTTGCACTTTATTTTCCAGAGCCCTGCAGCCTTCCTACTCCCGTAAGTCCCACCATTCTTATCTGTTGGTTGGAGGCAATGGAGATTGTAGCCCAATTGGAGGGTATCAGATGGAGGAAGTTTTTAGACACTCTCCTTGCCTTAAAGGCAAAGGAAAGCTGGGAAGGTCCACCTATTGCATATTTGTAGACAGAACCACAGGCCATTTCGCAGCTTTCCTCTGCCTCTACTTATGGAAAGCACACCAGCCCCACCAAAGCAGGAGCTGGGTTTGTGTTTGAAGGTCCTGTGGGAGCCCAGTTAGTCTATTGTTCCCAAAGCAGTAGAAAGTGTTGAGGCAGCTTGAAGTTTTATTTGGCATAAACTCTTCTGCACTGCATTCATGAGATAAACAAAGTAGCATTGTTCCTAGCAAGCTGAAGGCATGTCACAAATGCACTTTAAATATCACTGTCTATGCAGCTCTTATAACTCATTCCTTATCCATACCTCCTAAGATTCTCTATGACTGAACAGAGTAGAAACATTCATGGCTCAACTATCCTGGTTGGAAGCCTAGATTCATTCCAAGCAAGTTATACACAGTAACCTGGAAGTCATTTGTTCATAGAGTTGCCCTGTATAAGAGACCTATCCTGTTGTGTTTGCTATTAGAGTCTTTAAAAGAGGAGAATTCGGGCGTATTTGCAGAATGGCTGCTTATGGGTGAAGTTGAGGATTGGTGCTGTCATATTCCAGAGTGTTGCTTACTTTTGACACTTAACACTTAACTCGAGCGAAATGTAAGCTTTGAGGTGCACGCCTATGCCGATTTAGCTGAGTAGAAGCCACGTTGAAGTCAATGGGATTTAATTCTGAGCAGATTTTACAAGAGCCAGTGTAATGTAGGGGATAGAGTGATGGACCAAGTCAGGAGACATGGGTTCAAATCCCCCTTTGACCATGGAAATTCCTGTGTGTATGTGTGTGCGCGCGCGTATGTAATCGATAAAACCACTCCTAAAATATCTCACATACCTTGAAAAACCTATAGGATCGCCCTAAGTAAGAACCGTCTTGATGGCACCCAACACACACTACAGGACTTCTCTGTAAGAAAACCGCTGCCGCTTCCCAAGGCTTTCTTATCACTATAAGAAAGCTCAAAGCTCTGCAAGTGGGACGCTGAGATTGACGGGCGCTTGACGTTTGTCAATTTCACTCTGAAATTGATGAAGGAAGGACAGCGGACTTGCTTACGCGGTGGGCGGTGGGTCCCCCCCTTCTGGGGCGTTTCTCTCCCCCCCCCCTCGTTCCAAGGCTTGGAGGAGGAACTGGGTGGCTCACCTGTGGCTGGTGGCGGGAAAAGCTCTGCAAGTGGGACGCTGAGATTGACGGGCGCTTGACGTTTGTCAATTTCACTCTGAAATTGATGAAGGAAGGACAGCGGACTTGCTTACGCGGTGGGCGGTGGGTCCCCCCCTTCTGGGGCGTTTCTCTCCCCCCCCCCTCGTTCCAAGGCTTGGAGGAGGAACTGGGTGGCTCACCTGTGGCTGGTGGCGGGAAGGTGCCTCCTCCTCCTCCTCCTCCTCCTCGGTCCTCCGCAGCCCGGCTCTCGGCGGCCGAAGAGCTGAGCGCCGC